TTATAAGGCTCTTCATGGTGATGCACGTTTGTTGTGATTGCAGCCGTTACTGCTTCATACGGTTCACACACTGCACTGAGAGAAAGAACAGCCCGCATGCTTTTCTGATCTTCTTACTAGCCGAATGCTTAAGTAAGAAGGGAAGAAAGAAAAAAAGATATTTTTGAGAGAAAAGAGTGAGAGAGAGCCAGAGGGGAGACAGAAAAGAACGAAACATAGAAAACAGAAGGAGAGACAACAAGAGAGAGACAGCAAGAGGGAAAGAAAGAAGGAAAAAAAGAAAAGAGAGAGTAAAAGAGAACAACAGAGAGACAAAGAGACAAAGAGAGAGAGAGGTAGAGTGACCTTTTCCAGATGGTTGCAGTAGTAATCCTGTGTTTGAGGTCCTGCTGAGACTCTGATTCCTACAGTCTGCACACGACTGATAACACACACACACACACACACACACACACACACACACACACACACACACTTATCAGGAGGGATCTGAATATGACGGTTCTGTCTTTCACACACCTCGGGATGCTCACTCATGGTCTGATGTACTCGTTTGTGCCGGTCTCGGATGCGTCTGCCCAGGTGTTCTGTATGAAACCATCAATCCAGCCTAAAGACTCAGCTTACAGGCTGCAAACATGCTAAACACAAAAGCGTTTTGGGTGTGTTTAGGAGAAAGGAAAACACAGTTTGGTCCCAGTTTGGGTAACTCCACACTGCAGTTACGAGGCTCCCCAGACCGGCTCTTAATAATGATGCCTCGTAACTGCAGCGTAGTGTCGCACAAACGGCCGACCTGGGAAGCCTCGTAACTGCAGTGCAGTGTTGCTCAGATGGTCAACCTGGGAAGCCTTGTAACTGCGCTCTAGTGTCACCCAAACAGCCAGCGCGGGAAGCCTCGTAGCTGAAGTGTAGCGTCACTCAAATGGTCAGCCTGGGAAACCTCAGACTCCAGTGTAGTGTCGCTCAAAGAGCCGGTCTGGGGAGCCTCGTAACTGCAGTGTAGTGTCGGTTAAACACCCGGCCTTGGAAGCCTTGTAACTGCAGTGTAGAGTTTGGTACCTGTGGTATAGACGTTACTGCACTACTTACTGGAGAAAGGTGCCGAAGCTGTTTGAGCTGAGCTGAGTCTTTAGGCTGGATTGACGGTTTCATACAGAACACCTGGGCAGACGCGTCCGAGACCGGCACAAACGAGTACATCATTATTATTCATGCAGTTAATGATTAAGACACTGCACTTCAGTTACGGGGCTTCCCAGGCCGGCCGTTTGAGCGACACTACACTGAAGTTACGAGGCTTCCTGGGACGGCCATTTAAGCAACACTACACTACAGTTATGAGGCTTCCAAGGCCGGCTATTTGAGCGACACTACATTGCAGCTATGAGGTTCACAGAGCCAAATGCTTGAGTGAAACTATACTGCAGCTGTGAGGCTTTCTAAGCCGTATGCCTTAGAAACACTACACTGCAGCTACGAGGCTCTCCGGGCTGCTAGAGTGACACTACACTGCAGGTATTAGGGTTCCCAGACAGGCTGCTTAAGCAACGCTACACTACAGCTTCTTGGGCTCACCGCTTGCACAACGCGCTATACTGAAGCTTCAAGGCCCCCGAGCTGACCTTTTGAGTGCTGCCACACTGCTGCTACAAGTCCTCCCAGGTTTAAACGGATCTTCTCCTGCAGCTAAGGCTCTTTCTAGGCTATGAGGCAGCCCAGACCAGCCACATGAGTGACTCCAAGGTTGTGGACAAAAAGTGAAGCATAGTGGCCTGCGGCAGCGGACAATAGGCAATGTTGATTCCTGCCATATGCTATGATTCTGAATCATTGACTGCATGAATAATAGAGAACCACACACTGCTCTGATCAGGCACACACACAAAAACACACCTGTTTAAAAGAGATCTGATCTCACAGACCCATTGTCCTCTTTATCACACACTGAGCGCTGGGAAATACAGACGGTCTCTCTCGTCCCTCTGAGCTCGTTGTGTTCCTGGTTTTAATTAAGGTGCGAGTAGCATTATAGTGTGTATCTACACAGCGCCTGGACCTGCTCTTCACACACAGACACACACACACACACACAGACACACACACAGACACACACACACAGACACACACACAGACACACACAGCATACAGGCCTCTATGTTAACTTTTTGAGCAGGTAGCGCTGGTGCCATAAGAGTTGCACACACAAATTAAAATTTTAAGCACTGAGATGCTGAAAAGATGTAAACAGAGTCATTCAGAGTGGTTTGGTGTGAAATGCTCTGTTCTAGAGAAACTTAGAGTCAGAATTGTTCACAGTGGTGGTGATAGGAACCAGACGTCCACCTCTAAAAGCTCCCTCACAGAAAGTTATTACATGAAATGGTTATGAATTCACTGCCTGATGTCTGAGACACTGTGTTATGATAGTTTTGAGAGGATTTTGGGATAATTTTAGGGACACATGCAGGGCGTTTTGAGGCAAAATAGTCCCCAAAAA